AAAAGAACCAATAGATCTGTTTTGGAAGAAGTGCAGCCAGAGTGCTCCTTGGAGGCCAGGATGGCTAAGCTTCGCCTCTCATACTTTGGACATATTGTCCGGAGGAAACAGTCGCTGGAGAAGGATGTCATGCTGGGTAAGGTGGAGGGACAGAGAAAAAGAGGAAGACCCCTATCGAGATGGATTGGCCAGGTGGCATCATTGATGGCGTCAAGTGTGGCAGCGGTAGTGAGGTTGGCCCAGGATCGGGCCATTGTTTCGTTCTGCTGTGCATGGGGTCGCTATGAGTCGGTTCCGACTCAATGGCACCTGACAACAACAACAACATACCACCTCCTGGTTCCATTTTTCTGAACAACAAACACAAGGTCCTACAAAGCAACCCTGCCTGACCAATGTGACCATCCCTTGCCAACTGCACACCCAGTGTCAAAGGGAACAGGTTGCACTGGGAGCCCTCTCTTACCCTCCCATCCTGGCACTGAGGATAGATGCAGCCCGAAAGGATGCTGCCTTACCTTGGACCACACGCCCATACCAAAGGAGCTGCTCTCTGCCATCTGATGCAGGTACAGCTCTGTCCTGGAAGCAGAGAAGGAACTAGGAGTGAGTGAGGGGAGACAGTTATCATGGTGTAGACCACCACTTATTGACCAGGTGGCCCCCGTGCTTCCACAGGTCTGTCTTGGGACACCTCCCTCTTCCCTGGTATTCCTCACTCATACCCTCACTAGAAGGAGTCACAGAGCAGAATCAGGTTCGGACCTCAGGTTTTTAACCAGCTATGTGTCACACTCAATAGCCACTATGAAGAAGCCCTTGCTGTCATGTTCTAAGAACAGTCAGAACCACGATCTAAGTGTTGGTTATTATTGACTGCCGAGTTCATTCTGACTCATGGTGAACCCGTGCCTGGCAGATTGGAGCTGGGATTTTCTTGTCTGTCATCTTTGATGGAAGGAGATCTCCAGGTCTTTCTTCAGAAGACATGTGGGGTGGACTGTGTCCTAAGTCCTAAAGGACTCTGACCTTTAGCAGCCTGATGAATTAGTCATTTGTACTCGTTGTTGTTGTTAAGTACCATCGAGTCGGTTCCAACCAATAACAACCCTGTATAAGGTTTCCAAGGAATGGCTGGTGAGCTTGAACCACTGACCTTGCAGTATAAACGGCTTTGCAGTCTGGTGGCTGGGATCCAGGAGGCCACGTTCCTAACTACCTTTCAGTTCTGGGCAGCTGGGACTGGACCACTGGAATTGGGGGTACCTTCTCTCACTCTGGTAGTGTAGCAGTTACGATTCAGGCTGCTAATCTCATGGTCAGCAGTTTGAAACTACTAGTGGTTCTATAGGAGAAAGATGAGGCTTTCTGTGTCCATAAAGATTTATAGCCTCAGAAACCCTCTACGGGCTCGCTATGAGTCGAGGCCGACTCCATGGCACACCCCCACCACCATCTCTCACCACATGCGGCTGTCCCTGCTTCACCTCCCCAGTCACTCACCTGAGGTCCAGGTCCAGTCCTGCTAGCATCTGGGAGAAAACCTGGAAGTTGCCTTCTCCCGGTGGTTGCCTCGCCACTCGACTCTTTTCTAAAAGCATCGTCTGCAGGGGAAGAGAGAAGGCATGAGTCAGTACTTGGGACATGAGCTGCCTGGGGCACATCTGCCCCAGACCTGGTGACCAGCTAGGTACTCAACAGGGCCCTAGCTAGACCCATGCTCGGAGCCAAATTTGTAGGTCTAAACCTTTGCTGGTACACTCCACGTCAGAACATCTCAGTCCTTTGTCTCATTCATTCAGGACCATTTAGGGAATCAATTACTGCACAGACTCAGTCTAATTAAAGCATCCAATAGTGGTGTTCTTATTCATTGTCCTCAAGTGCGAGCTGACTCACGGGAACCTTCAATTCAAGTATTACGAAGAGTTGCTCCCATCCATTGGGCTCCATCCGACTCATGGCAACCCATAACAACAAAAAAAGCACTGCCTGGTCCCGAACCATCTTCCTGATCATAGATATGTTTCTGTTCATTCTTGTGGCTGTTGTGTCCTCTCATCTGATGAAGGGCTTCCCTCGTGTTTGACAGCCCTCTACTTTACCAAACGCCATGTCCTTATCTGTCCACTGGTTTTTCCTGATGCTGTACCCAAAGCAGGCATGATGAAGTCTCCTCATCCTTACTTCTAAGTAACATTCTGTTTGTCTTTCTCCTGTCATTCTTTTGGCAGTCCATAAGTAATTGGGCCACCCTCAAACATACTCTTTTATAATAGAGTCCTTCAGTACCTTAACCCAAAGGTAGACTTCAGGATACAGACAGAGAAGGGTTTATTTGGTAACAAAGAGCATTCCTGGAGTCTGAAGTGCTGTCTGCCCCATTTTCTATTCCAACAGAATGTTTGAGGCGGGAAAAGGGAGGGTGCGAGTGATTTTGAAGATAGAAACAAACAGGCCTTGTGTTTGTCACACACGGACGGCCACACAAGGCTGGTGCACGTCTGTTTAATTTCAGTTTGTGCTTTTAAGACCCAGCTAATGAGCGGATGGATTATCTATTTGCTCGTGAATATTTCATCCGCATGATAGCGAGATGCAGATGGGAAGGGGATGTTCCAGGGAACACAGAGCAACATTGTGGGTTGCTGGTCACCACCATGATGACTGGCTCAGACACATTCCCGGGGAACCCCAGATGGATGAGGCTGGGGACAATGCAGCCCCGAGGACCCCACCTCACCCACAGGCCTCACCTGGAGCTGAGCACTAGTGATACGGCCTGTGGCATTGAAGTCCAGTGACATCACCATGGAGAAGCGGGTGGCACTTTGACTGTGGCCTGTAGGCACTGAGCCGAAAGCCCGGAGCACAGTGAAGGTGGCACGGATCTTCTCCACTGTGGGGGGCATGGAAGGGGGCGTCACTCATGGTCCAGGGGCTGCCACCCCCACCTCTCACAACCATCTTTCCCACCAGCCCCTGGCCCTGCCCACCACAGATCTTCACCATAAGCATGAGCTATGAACAGGGTTCAGAGGGAGCAAGAAGGGGAGAACCACCAAACCTGCATTACAATCTGGGTGACAAGTTGCCAGAGGGGCCTCCTTGTGAAGATTTCAGACCTGTCCTCAGGGAGCTCCCAGCCCTGCAGACTCTCCACAAGTATTCACTAAGCACTTACTATGTGCCAGGCACTGTGTTGGGTGCCTGGGTACAGCCTGTCCTGACACCCACTTCACCCACACTGTCACAGCAAGAATGCAATCTGGGAATGCAGGGATTGGAGACTCCCCCACTCCTGGTGCAGGCCAAGCATAAAGTAGGTGCTCAATGAAGCACTGAAATGGGTGGGGAGGCGGTCTAGTCCAGTAGTTAAACATCAGCCTCCTGAGTCTGCCTTATGTTGGTCACCTGCTTTGGGGTACATGTGTATTCTTCCCTGTATCTAACACGAGGTCATCATCCCTAGGTCCTATGACTGTCATGAGGATCAAAAGATTTAATAATGTAAGCCCATGGCCATCAAGTCAATTCCAAATCATAGTGACTTGGAGGACAGAGTAGAACTGTCCCCTGTGGTGTCTGAGGCTGTCAGTCCTCATGGGAGCAGAAGGCCTCATCTTTCTCCTATAGAGATACTGGTGGGTTCGAACTGCTAACCTAGTGGTTAGCAGACCAACACTTAACCCACTGTGCCACCGAGGCTCCTTCAATAATGTAGTACTTAGAAAATGCCTTAAATGTTTTGCTGTTGTTATTATTACTGTTTCTACTATTACTAGAAAAACAATAAAGCTTAGGTCATGCAATTGCCAATGAGTAATATTTTCCCCAAGATGGCAAAGCCTGATTCTTGTTGAGGGAAAAAAAAAAGTCTTATTCTTCTTATGTATAAAGTACAAGTGCACATATTCCCCATAAGCAGATACCTAATATATTTGTAGCATTAAAATTTCACTGTGGGGGGAAGATTAGGGGGGAAAACTTCCTACAAGTCTGCTTACTCATAGTGACTGCATAGGACAGAGTAGAACTGCTCCCCAGGGTTTCAAGGCAGTCAATATTTATTGGAGCAGAAAGCCTCATCTTTCTCCCACAGAGTAGCTGGTGGGCTTAGATCGCCAACGTTGGGGGTATCAGTCCCATCTCCAACCACTGACCCTCCAAAACGCCTTAAAGACTCCTGTTGTTGTTTCTAAGTACTGTCAAGTTGGTTCTGACTCATAGCGACCCTGTATAGGTTTCTGAGAAGCAGCTGGTAGATCGAACTGTCAACCTTGCGCTTCGCAGTCTAGTTCAGATCGTATACCACACCAGCACTCCCGTGGTATTGTTATGTGCTGTCAAATCACTTCCAACTCATAGCGACCCTGTATAGGGTTTCCAAGGAGTGGCAGGTGGGTTTGAGCCACACTGACTTTGGGGTCACCAGCCCAATGATTTACAGTCCTGGTGTGATGCTGTAGGATAAGCAGTTACCTGAACGCAAGGTCAGTTTGAACCTCAAGGTCAGCGATTCAAACTCACCAACTGCTCCTTGAAAACCTTATACAGGGTCTCTATGGATCGGAACTCACTCAACAGCACTGAACAGCAACAAGAAGCCTAACGATTTACCCACTGTGCCACTTTATTGTTGTTGTTAAGTGCCGTGGAGTCGGTTCTGACTCATAGCGACCCTGTATAGGGTTTCTGAGGCTGTAAATCTTTACGGGAGCAGAACGCCTCATCTTTCTCCCACGGAGCAGCTGGTAGTTTCAAACTGCTGACCTTGCGGTTTGCAGCCCGATTCGTAACCACTACCCTACTAGAGGTCTCCTTTAAAGGATCCTTAGAGAAATGAAACTCAGAAGAAGCTTAAGAAACACTGGCCCAGTGGGTAAGGCTTTGGGAAGATGACCTGGGTTCGATTCTCAGCCCCAGATTTGATTCACTGTGTGGTTTGGGACAATGTCATCATCTGTCAGATATAAAGCACAATACTCACTTATTGTTGTTATTGTTGTTGTCATGGGTCTGTATTGGAAAACAAAAAGGACCATTGGTGGTCCCGTGGCTAAGCATTTGCACAGCTAACCGAAAGGTCAGCAGTTCGAACCCACAGGAGAAAGATGAGGCCATCTTCTCCCATAAAGATTTGCAGTCTCGGAAACCCTATGGAGCAGATTTTCTCTGTTCTACACAGTCACTCTGAGTTGGTATCAACTGGACAAAGGGATTAAATAATAAAAGGAAGTTGTCCTCTAGTTGGCTCCAATTCATGAGGACCCCCTGTATGTCAGAGTAGAACCACTGGGCTTATCAGTAGCTCTGACCTTTTGGAAATCAATCACCAGGGCTTTCTTTTAAGGTACCTCTGGGCGGATTCGAACTTCCAACCTTTCTGTGAGTAGTCAACTTCGTAACCTTTTTTTGCCACCCAGGGGCTTTTCTAAAAAATAAATTAATATCCTTGGAATACAGCCAGACACATAAGAGTACTCTGAGTATTCACAACAATTATTGTTAGTATTAATTCCACTCTTCCCTTAAGGCCCATCTCAAAGTCTCTTCCTCAGGGAAGCCCTTGTGTCTTTGCCTCTCCCTCACCACCACTCTCAAACAGGATCTGAGGTTATCACAGGCGGGCAGAAGTCCTGTACAGTTCACTAGGTTGTGCACTGCACAAGGGCAACAGCTCCCATGGAACAGCGTTCCCAGAAAACTATCACAGACCAGCACTTATATTTGCATAACTCCCCAGCAGAGGGCAGTCCCATGGACTGGGTGGGTGGATGTCTTTTTCTCATTTGCACAAAGGGGTCCAGTGGACAAGGGGCCATGCCCAGTAGGAGGCAAAGGTCTGCACACATCCGGGCTCAGTAAACACTACCTAAATGGAGATCAGGAGGACCAGCCCAGAACCCACCTCGGTGCCTCTCCTCCCTGCTCTGCTGGCACCTGGAGACCACCATACCTGAGACTGTGCTGTCCACACCACCTGCCAGCCCCACCAGGTACTCCAGGATCCGCTCACAGCAGGTGGTCTTCCCAGCACCACTCCGGCCAAGGGCCACGATGCTCTGGTCTCGCCTCTGGCTCAACATTGCCCAGTATGCCCGCTGGGCCAGGGAGCCAATATGGGCAGGCAGGCCATCCCGACGGCCCTTGGGCACCTGCAAGGAGACTAAGGTTTCAATCCTTCTCCCCAGTTGGGGCCCAGGGAGCACTCTGAGACATTCCTCCATCCACAGACTCAGGTCCAGAACAACATCCCTTCTCCCCCATCCTCACTCCAACCGTCATCATCAGACAGCCCAACCTGGGTGGCTAGATCTGTCCTGGGTGCACTGAGTTCCTGAGCGGCACACCACCCAACTCTGGGCCTAGGTTTTCTCTTCCAGAGGGAAGAGACTTGAACTTGAGTTACATTGGCCCCAGGGGTACTATCCTACTCACTGCCTGACACGATTGATGTGACAAGATTGATTAGTGATGTCTGCCTTGGAAACAGGGAACTGGGCATGGGAGGTACAGGTGTATGTGCCATGTATTTGCTATAACAGATTTGGATGATCCAGGAAGTCTCTTCTACCTCATCCATCCATCCATCCATCCATCCATTCATCCATTCATTTTTCATTTAATTTTTAAAAATCCACTGAGTGTCGACTATGTAGCAGACACTGTCTTAGGCATTTGGGGCACAAAATGAGACAAAACAAATAAAGGAAATCCCATGTAATCTCAATACTGCTATTGCTCGTTGTTGTTGTTAGGTGTCCTCAAGTCAATTTATAGCTCCAACCTATGTACAACAGAATGAAACGCTACCTGATCTTGGGACAATCTCACACTTGTTCATGTCTTTGAGCCCATTATTAAATTGACTGTAAAATTATACATTTTTGTATCTTGGAGTCCTGGTGTGGCACTGTAGGATAAGAACTGGACTGCTAACCACAAGTTCAATGGTCCAAACCCCCCAGCTGCTCCTCAGAAACCCTACACAGGTTCGCTATGAGGCAGAACTGACTCAATGGCACTTAATAACAATAAATACATAACTTATATATTTGAATATTGGTAGTAGAATAAGAACTGGACTGCTAACCACAAGGTTGGAAGTTCAAATCCACTAGCCACTTCTCAGAGGAAAGATGAGGCAATCTGCTCCCATAAGCATTTTCAGTCTGAGAAATGCTACGGAGCAGTTCTGCTCTGTCCTACAGGGTCACTGTGTGTGGGAATGGGCTGGACAGTGAGTGAGTTATCACATCATTCCACTCAGCAATCTCACTCCCATGTAATTGACCAAAAGAAATGAAAATGTATGGTACCATCCCCCAAATAAACCACCCCAAACTAACAACCACCCAAAGGTCCTCTAGTTAGTGAACTAGCATACCAACTACCCCAATTGTAAAGTCCCTTTTCTGGGAGACCCCACTGTCCTGAGAAAACTGGGATGGCAGGTAACCCTGTTAACACAGACAGAAACCCCTGCGTCCATACCATGGAATCAAAGCACAAATGACTGATAGATTAACAATGAAATGGATGAATCTCAACTGCATTCAGTCAAGTGGAAGAAGCCAAGCATAGACTGTCATCAGTTGCCATCAAGTGGACTGACTCACGGCAACCCCACATGGGTTTCAGAGCAGAACTGTGCACCGTACGGTTTCCAATGGTTAGTTTTCTTGGAAGGAGATCATCAGGCCTTTCATCCGAGGTACCTCTGGGTAGACTGGAACCTTCTTCAGCCTTTTGGTTAGTAGCCAAGTGTGTTAACCACCTACACTAATCTAAGGACTGTGTTAGGTACCGACCATGTCCATTCATTGGGCCTTTTAGAAAAGTTCAAACAGGTGGCCAGGGCCAGTGTGCATCTTGAGTGTGGTGCTGGTTACACAACTGCACACATGTGTCCAAAACTCACAAGCTGTACACTAAAAAGAGTGAACGTTCCATTCGTAAAGTTAGACCTCAATAAACTGGATTTCCCAAATATCCCTGACTCCCTGGAGCTTGCTTTCTTGTGGGAAGAGGCTGTTGACAAACAAAACCAATCACTAAATTAGAGTGAATGGCAGTAATTTTTAAGCCAGGAACCTGGATGAGATCCCCCCAAGGAAGTGGGTATTGACAGTGAAGATGAAGAGGTGTGGGGAGTGGGACACCCTGACTTGGAGTAGGCAGAGAAGCAAGCTGCAAAGGAGCAGCCAGGAGACAGAGGGAAAACCAGGAGAGTGGAACCCTGGAGCTAAGAAAGGGTGTGTCTTTAGAAGAAGGGAGTGGCCAGCAGTCAAAGGCTACTGAGGGTCAAGTCATTGAGCAGAGAGAATTGACCAATGCATCTGGCAGCCTGGCCAGCTCATGACCTTGAGCAAAATTTGCTCTGTGTGGCTTTCAGAAATGAAGGAAGAGAGCCAGGGGAGAAGCCAAAAGACACTAAAGCAGGGGCAGGGGCTGGGCGCAGCTGAAGAATGAGCCACAAAGCCCAGGAGGTCAAGTAGATGACCCCTCCAGGCCCAGCAAGGCCCATCTTCCCCTTCCTCCAATGCTTTAGCAAAAGCAGAGGCACAAGCCCTATTGTGGTGTTCCTCTGCACTCCAACCTCCAGCCTGTGACTGAGGGGAGCTCTGCGTCCACTGTTGGCCCTTCCTACCCCCGGAGACCCCAGGATCTGCAATGACACCTGTCCTGGTGCAAAACATGAGGCTTCATCAGGACCTCAATGTTGGCAAGGCAGGGACAGGACTCACACTGGCTGGACACAGACCTAGGGCGTCCAGCAGGGACAGGGTTCTTTCAAGGGACAGGCCCCCATTCATGGGTCTTCTTAGACTCCCCTGAGACCCAGGCCCTGTGTGGATTCACAGGTACCCATATGCACACAAGAGGTGCACCCAACAAATTTCTCAAGTACACACAGGTGTGTCTACCCCCACCCTGAACAGACCTGCTCACACCTAGGCACACCCCCAACTCTCAGATGAGACACCTGGTTGGGCTCAGTCCCTTCCTCCACTCAACCCACTTCGCGCACGCACACGCAAGCGCTCACACACACATCCTGCCTCACTAACCAGTGTGTGCTTCCCCCTGGTGGCCATTTGGGGAATAGCAATGTCTCAGGCAAAAGGTAGGATGGCTGAGGCTGCGGGTGTGGAAGGCTGGAGGGAAGGCTAGTATGGGCACAGAGTGACCACCACCCTATCCCAGAGTTGTGAAGGGACTTGCTGAGGGCAGTGGTGGTCACATGCCTGCACATTTAGATCCTAGCTCTCAGAATCTGATACAAATGCTTCAATCCAGGACCAAGGCAGACAGCACCCGTCCACAAGGTCTTCTAAGGAGCCAGCAGTTCCGTTCCACTTCCTGGGTTGTTCAGAAGCCTTGGGCTTCTGAACAAAAAGCACAGCATCCACAGCAGGGAAGGAAGAGCAAGCACACTCCGACATCTCTCACCCTGGAGCTCCTGAGGCTCCATAAGCAGCAAGGCCCGAGGGGACTGGGTGGGATACATGACAACTGATCCCCTCATGAAAGACTTAACAATGTGCAGGAACTAGGACTGAGTGTGTCCCACAAGTCTTCAGTTAATGGATGAGAAGACTGAGGTCAGAGAGGCCTTGTGATCTTTCCAAGCGTTCAGAGCCCATTAGGCGCTCTGGTAGTGTAGTGATTACCAGTCGGGCTGCGAACCTCAAGGTCAGCAGTTTGAAACTACCAGCTGCTCCGTGGGAGAAAGTTGAGTCTTTCTGTTCCCGTAAAGATTTACAGCCTCGGAAACCCTGTGCAGGGTCGCTATGGGTCAGAACCGACTCCACGACACACAGCCACCACCACCACCAAAGCAGATTAGCAGGTGTTCTAGAAGGGGCCCAGGCCTTCACCAGCAGATCTCAACCTACAACCCAAAGCTTCACTCCAACAGGGTTCCCTGTCTCCACCTTTAAAGGAGCAAACAGCCTTATCTTTCTCCTGGGTAGTGACTGGTGGGTTTGAACCACCAATCTTGCAGTGAACAGTCCAGCACTGAACCCATTGCGTTACCAGGATGCCTTAATCATGGCACAGCTCTGCTGAAAATCTCCAGACGACACCACCATGCTCAGAGTGTAAGTCAAAATCTCGCTCACTACTCACAAGGACCAACAGTCTCCCCTCCTGCTTCTCCAGGGCCTCGGGTCTTGTCTACATCAGCCATGCTGGCTCCGTTCTGAGCCTGCCTCAGGGCCTTTGCATAGGCTGTTCCCTCCACTCAGGAAGTTCTTCCTGATCCCTCACCTCCTTCAAGTCTCAGATCAAACATCACTCCTCAGTGAGGCCCCTTTGATCTTCCCCTACCTCTCCACCTGCTCCTAAGGGCTTCTTCGGTTGTAAATTTTAAAGAAGCAGACTACCCCATCTTTCTCCCAAGGACCGACTGCTGAGTTTGAACCACTGACTATTTGGTTTGCAACTGAGCACTTTAACCATCTGCACTACTTATTGCACTGAAACCAAAACCAAATCCATTGCCATCAGCTGGGTTCTGACTCACAGAACTGCTCATTGAGGTTTTTCAATCTTGTAGGTTCAAACTGCTGACCTTGTAGCTAGCAACCCAAGGCTGATGAAGGGGGCTGTCTGGCAAAAATTAATCAGTAGTGGAGACAAGGTCTGTCCACAAGGTGGCGCTTGGAGACTCCATTTGGTTCCAATTTCCTTCCAGAGGAGACATGGCTGTTTTTACACTTCAAGAAGGAAAAAATACAATGCAATGGGCTCAAGTTTAGCTGTGATTGTGAGGACGGACGGAGCAGGACGGGCAATGTTTTGTTCTGTTGTACATAGGGTCACTATGAGTTGGAACGGACTCGGCGGCACCAAACAACAACAACACAACAACAAGCAGAACGCTGGCTTTTGTTCCTAGTTGATGAGACGCCAAGGTGGTGTTGAGATGAGTGAGGAGTCCGGTGGCTTGTGTTCCGTCCCTGCTCCGCTAGGAGCTAAACATGAGGCCTCAGCAGGTGGCTTCACTACGCCAGGCCAGATTGTCTTATCTGCAAAATGAGACTGATTGTAGCCCCGTCTGTTCCAATGGATGTGAAGGTTTTTTAAGTACAGTTCTTATCTTGTGCCAGGGAGTTAATTTCGACTCAGCGACCCCAGTGTTCTACACAGCAGAACTGCCTCAAAAAGTTTTCTTGGTTATACAAATTGGAGTTTGAAGTGCTCAACTGTTAACCAAAAGGCCCTGGTTCAAACCCACCAGTTACCCTATCTGTAGAAAGTTGTGGCAGTCTGCTTCCACAGATTTCAACTGTGAAAGTCCTATAGGGGGCAGTTGTCTGTCTTACAGGGTCATTATGAATCAGAATCAACTGGATGGGGTTTTTAATCTTTACAGATGCAGATTATGCAGCCTTTCTTATGTAGCTGGGTGGGTTCAAACTACCAACCTTTCAGTTACCCACCAAGTGCAAACCATTTGTGCCATCGAGGGATCCCCTGGTGGAGTTCCAAAGCCAGGTTTCTGAGGCTGCTTTACAGGCGCAGACAGCCTCGTCTTTCTGCCCTAGTGGTTGGTTCCAAACTGCTGACCCTGCTTTTAGCAGCCCAACGTTTAACCCACTGCGCCACCAGGGTGTAGTTAATACTTATTAAATGTTTTCTCTGGTTATGACGTACTTTAATGCTCCCGTTGTTGTTATTTCTAACTTTACTCCTCTTTCCCTTCTGGGGGGTAGGGGAGCATCATATGATTCATTATATCCCATAGGGCCCCAGAACATCCCCCAGAATCTCATCTTTGGCAGATGCTGCTTATAAACAGATGTATGGGGAAAAGGATTCTGCCTGCTCTTCTCTCTGCTAAGATCAGAGGGGTCCCCCCATCTCACCTTTACTGCAGAGGGTGCCACAGGTCCCCAGGGCTGAAGGACAATGAGGTCTGGTCCAGTGAAGGTGTGTGGCAGCTGAGCCCGGCAGCGGTGCAGAAGTGTGTTCAGGACACTGGATTCATTCACATTGATGAGGGTGGCCAAGTCCTCAGCCTGATCCAGCTCAGGAGGGTTAGCCTGTGGACCATCACACAGCGTCTCCTCTGGAGTCCTGGGCTCCCTCCACACTCCCACCCACCCCACTACACACACACACACACACACACACACACACAGATTTGGAATCCTGTCCCCTGGGGAATCTCAAGTCAAACACTAGACAGAGTACAAGGTTCTGGAGGGGCATGAGGGACCCACATATAAAGCAGGGCGCCCCTTCCCTGGCCCTGTGAGGTCATCTGAGGAAAGCTGCCAGATATAAGTCCCTTCTGCACTCTCCATCACCACAAATCTGACAGTGGTGTAAGGGAGGGAGGGGGCATTTCCTGTTACCGTATCTGGGTCTTATAGGGGGCTCTGTGTGGGTACCATGATGCCCAAGCCACTCCATTTCTCTGTCAGTATTGGTTGCTCAGAAAAATGTCCCGCCTTCCCAGATACATGCGCTGTTTGTGGCCTTTCCTTGGAACCCTCATCTGAGGAGGCTTCCAACTGGTCTTTCCAGCTTTGGGGAGTTTTCAGAGCTGGGAATCTGACATTTGGACAAGCCTGAGCCCTCTCAGGGGGTCAGCCTTTCTTGCAAAAGCACTAAAAAAAATTCAAACTTTCTGCAATCAAGTCGGTTCTGACTCATAGTAACCCAATATAGTGCTCTTGAGACTGTAAATCTTTGTAGGAGCAGAGAGTCTCCATCTTGCTCCCAAGGAGCAGCTGGTGGGTTTGAACCACCAACTTTGAGGCTAGCAGTCTGGTGCATATCCCACAGCGCCACTAGGACTCTTCCAAGGGCATTTCTTGTTGTTAAGTGCCGTCTAGCCAGTTCTGACTCACAGCGACCCCGTATAGGGTTTCTAAGACTGCAAATCTTTGCGGGGAGTAAAAGCCTCGTCTTTTCTCCGCCGAGGCAGGTGGACTCAAATTGCTGACCTTGTGGTTAACAATCCAATGTTTATCCTACAGAGCCATGGTATTCCCCGCAAGGTTATTTGTTGTTGTTAAGTGCTGTCGAGTCAATTCCAACCCATAGTGATCCTGTATAGGGTTTCCAAGGAGCAGCTAGTGAGCTTGAACCACCGACCTTGCAGTTCAAATGACTTTGCAGTCTGACTCATTAGCCCACAGCACCACACCAGGACTCCTAGCAAGCGTACTATGTCTCTGCCAACACCCAGCACTGGTGGGAGAAAAGGACCTTGCATGGGTAGAGGAGGAACAAGGAAGGATGCAGATGCAAAAGGATCCCATGTAGTTCCTAAAGGAAACTTCTTCCTGAGTAGTAAGCCATGAGGGGTATCAAGGATTTCAGATACACTAAAAATCTATGCAAAACAATTGAAAAATAAAATAAAATTTGATGCCCAAAATACAGGCCTTCAGGATCCATGCCGTGCTTGATGGCAAAGAGTAAATTTGGCTCTGAGTTCCCTGGCAGCCAGGGTGAAAAGGGAAATAGGCTCTGTAACACAATTGACAAATGTTCATAAAAGGAAAAGCAATCACTAGTTTGGGTAAATCAGAAGAATTCCCAGTACCAGGACCTGAACGGCATCTCTCTTGATGTGCCCTTATGAAGGGGACACTACGGATCATATGAATGGCCCCCTAACAAAATTCCTCCAACAGAGCAGTAAGTTCAATGGTGTCTGTGGGCAGGTACAAGGCGCTCTCTTGCAGGGGTAAGGAAGAAGAGCGTGGATTTGGGGAAGGAAGAAGACAGGGAGCTCACCCGGTGAACAAGCTCCTCATCCACCTCAGTGATGGTTTTGTCAGCATCGATGCAAAGTCTCACCCTTCCTGCTGGCAGGTCTGCCGTTCCCTCATCTGGCTTTAGCACGGTTGCTGGTGGACATCCCAGAAAGACACATAGAAGGGGGACGAAGAGATAGACAGAGGTTCTGAGCTGCTGAACAAGACCAGGATGCTGGAGAGAAGACTTGGGAGGTGACAGAGGGGCCTATGCACGCGGAAGGTTCTGAATGGTGACCCCAAGTCCTTTGAGGATAGAGGCCAGCTCTGACTTACCAGCACACTCAATACTAAGTGCACAGTTGTTGTCAGGTGTCATGGAGTTGATTCTGACTCATGGACATTCCATATAGGGTTTTTGAGGCTATAAATCTTTAGAAGAGCAAACAGCGTCATCTTTCTCCCAAGGAGCTGCTGGTGTGTTTGAACTGCCAACCTTGTGGTTAGCAGTCCAGTGTTTATCCTACAGAGTCACCAGCTGTATGAAGCACAGTGGTGGCAGGGGTGGTTATTTGCTTTCGAGTCAGTTTTGACCACAACAACTTTGTATAGGGTTTTCAAGACTACAAATTTTTATAGAAGCAGAAAACCCTCAACTTTCTCCCACAGAGTAAGTGGTACATTCGAACTACTGACCTTGCAGTTAGCAGACCAGCTCATCATCCATTACTCTACCAGGGCTCCTTGTGACGTACAGTGTTGTTGTTGTCGTTGTTGTTAAGTGCCTTTGAGTATATTCCAACTCATAGTGACCTTGTATAGGGTTTCTGAGGCGTGGCTTGTGAGCTTGAACCACCAACCTTGCAGTTCAAACTGACCTTGCGGCACAGCGCATTAACCAGCAGCACCATACCAGGATTCCAGGAAGCACAGTTGTTGTTATTGTTGTTATGTGCTGTGGAGTCGGTTCCAACTCATAGAGACTCTGTACAGGGTTTCTGAGGCTATAAATCTTTACTGGAGCAGAAAGCCTCATCTTTCTCCCACAGAATGGCTGGTAGTTTCAAACTGCTGACCCTGAGGTTAGCAGCCCGATTCGTAACCACTATGCTACCAGAGCTCCTTGGGAAGCACAGTAGGCACCAGAAAGTTGGCTGCCCAACCTGCCTAGACCTACAATAGTAGAAAATGGCCATAGTAGAAAATGGCCTGCAGGCTGCCATTTCCCCTCCAGTGCACATGACAGACATCACTAATGGATCAGTCTCTCCAACTGCATTCTGCCTGGGATTCAGAATGGCTTCTCAGTTGAGTGTTGCCATCAGTCACAACTAATCTACACCAGCGGACTCATTTTTCTCCTGTGGAGCGGCTGGTGGGTTCAAACCACTGACCTTGTGATTAGGGGTCTTGTACTTATCGTATAGAGCTACAGGACTCCCCCTAAGAGTACTGTTGCTGTTGCTAAGTGCTGAGTCCATTTCAACTCATAGAGATCCTGTATTGGGTTTTCCAGGAGCAACTGGTGGGTTTGAACTGCCAACCTTATGGTTTGCAGTTCAGTGCTGATCCTACAGGTCCACACCAGGAGTCCACACTAGGTCTCTGCAAACTTCCAATAGCAGTGGAAGACAAGGACCTGAGATGAGCGGAGGAGGAGCAAAGAAGGATGTAGACAACAGAGTGAAGTTTATTCACCTCCTTGCACAAGACTTTTTGAGTTCCTAGAAGACTGCAGGAATCCTGCAATGCTTGTTGATTAACATACAATGTGATTCATTTATCAAACTTCACAAGCTTTTGTGCCTAAAAAAATGCCACAGAGGTTTTTTACTGCCTCTCATCTCACTCTTTCCCTTGAAAAGTATAATCCAAACCAAAATCAACCCCGCAGCCAGCAAGTCAATTCTGACTCATAGTGACTCTATTGTGTTGTTGTGTGTCGTTGAGTCGATTCCAACCCATGGCGACCCTGTACAGGGTTTCCGAGGCTGTAAATCTTTACGGGAGCAGACTGCTTCATTTTTCTCCCACGGAACCACCGGTAGTTTCGAACTGCTGACCTTGAGGTTCACAGCCTGATTCGTAACCACTACGCTACCAGAGCTCGTTTAAGCCACCAGAGCATAGGACAGAGCAAACTACTCCATAGAGTTTCCCAGGCCATCAATTTTTATAGGAGCAACTTATCTTTCTCCCTCAGAGGAGCCAGTGAGTTTGAACCACCGACCATATGCTTAGAACCCCAATGTTGAGCCCTCTGTGCCACCAAGGCACCTTAAAAGAACTTGGCAAATATGGTAACAGAAGTGGAAAAGACTCAGACCCCTAGATGGCGCTAGTGCCCCTACTTACCAAGAGTGAATCCATCCTTCTGAACCAGCCAGACTTTCTCTGCCTCATACCACCTGTCCTGGGAGGCCTGAGAACAAAGATTGCACCTTAAAGCAGCAGAATGACACTCTTGTGGGTGGGTAGATCCCATACATCAGGACTTCTCACCATGTGGTCTGGCAGCATCTAAAAGAGCATCTCTAGGGATTGTGATTAACTCATTTAAATGCATGTCCCTGAGCCTTTGCAATAGGCACCTCCTAGAAGAATATTGTCATTTTCCAAAACCTACAGTTGGACCCACCAGCCAGGAGATATACAGGAGGTTGATTTATAGCCTCAGAAACCCTACGGACAGTTCTCTGTTCTACGGGGTTGCGATGAGACGAAATTGACTCCAAGGCAGTGGGATAAATTGAAAACTAGCGTAGTGGTTACGAATCGGGCTGCTAACCTCAAGGTTGGCAGTTTGAAACTACCAGCAGTTCCACTGGAGAAAGATGAGGCGTTCTGCTCCCGTAAAGATTTACAGCCTCGGAAACCTTGTACAGGGTTGCTATGAGTCGGAACCGACTCCATGGTACTTAACAACAACAACAACCTACTCATTGGAAAATCCCACTCTGGGACTGGGAGGTGCCTTGAGCTCCCTACTCATGATGGCGCAGTGCTGGTCCCCTCCTCTGGGTCACCCCTCTCCAGTTTCTGGATTCAGTTCCGCTTCCCAGGATCAGTCCTATCTCTGCATCTTTGAGGGGCCTAGCTGCCCCACCTTGCGGCTGTAGCTCATTACCTGGTTCAAGTCTTTGCTCTGGCCTCCTGGGTCCCTCTCCTGCAGGGCTGGCCCCTCTTGTTTCTCCTCCCGTGACTCCAGAGCAGGTTTAGGTTTTTGTAGCTCCAGCTCCAGGGCCTTGGCCTCAGTGTCTGCTCTTGGGTCAGGCCACTCTGCTCTCTGCCCTCTGCTTTCTGGCCGGTCCTCCTTTCCAGCTGCCCCGATGGACTCCTGGCTCGTACCCGCCTTCTCTGGGACTGTCTGGCCCTTCTCTGTCTTACCCTGAACAGTATCTGCCTCCCCAGACTTACTCTGAGGTTGCCTCACTTCTTCAGTCCCAGTCTTCTCAGCTGTACTCTGGGGCTCACCTGCTTTCCCTGCGACAAGCAGGGGTCCCCCCACCTTCCCCTGCACTTTGTCCTTCTTCTCTGTCTTGAGGTGAGAGTCACCTGCCTTCTCTCCTGTCCTCGGGAGCTCACATTCTTTGTCCTTACTCTGGGGATCACCCCACTTGGTCTTTCTGCCCAGGGAACCTCCCCACGTCTTTCCCTGGCTTTGGACCCCAGTTCCCTTCCTTTTATCCCCTGCATCTTTGGAGAGAACCCCCTTTCCCATCTTGCTTTGGGAATCCCCTCCCTCCCCCACTGGCATCCCTGGCTGCCCTCCCTCACCTGGCCTTTGGGCTCGGGGCCTGGGTCCCTGTCCCTCATTCCCCTGGACCTCACCCCCTTTAAGTCCTTTGGTCTGCGGGTCCCTGGCCCCTCTTCCCACTGAGACTTGACCCTTCTTGTTTTTTGTCAGTGACACATTTTCTTGGCCTGGACCCCCAAGAGTCTGTATCAGGGTCTCCTCGGTCTTCGGGGCTGGCTCCTCCACACTGGTCTGGGAACCACAGGAAGACCCTCGAGCATCTCCTTTCTTTTCCCCTCCTGGGTCTGTGACATGAGATGGGGTCTTGCAGGTGGGGGGGTCCTGGGGTTGGGCCCTCTGCTCTGGCTTGGCTGAGTCCGGGTCCAGCTTGGCTACCATCAACAGCACATCACCCCTCTTCACACCCCTCTTGAAGGGTAGGGGTTTTTTGGTGGGGGCCTCCCTGGAACCTGGCTCCTGGGCTTTCTCGCCATTGATGCTAGCCATCAGCATGGGGTCCTTGCTGACAGTCCCCTTGCTCTCCTGGCTCGGAATGTTTGAGTCCTGGGGAGAGCCCGGTTGGCTGCCCTGGTGGGTCTGTAGACTTCCCGATTTGGTGGTACTGGTGGATTTGCTGTTGGGTGGGCTGCTGGAAACCTCAGGTGTCTAGAAGAGAGAGATCATAGTCCTACTTCAGTGTGTGCTGAGTGGACTGAGCCATCATTTGCTCATTCGCCATCTAAAGATATGCCAACACCTCTAAGATTTGAATTGGCACTGTACCAGGCAATGGCATCCCTAGAGGATGCAAACGGTTAGGCACCCAGTCACTAAAATGTTGGTAGTTCAAGTCCATTCAGAGGTGCCTCAGAAAAAAAATGCATAAAAAATCAATCTTTGAAACTCTATGGAGCCAATTCCGACCCTAACACCCACAGTATCTCCAGGAGTGGAATCAAATTGATGCCCATTTACCCAGTGCCCCCAGGCCATATAACAAAGTGGAAGGAGAGTGGGCGTGGGAGTCTGACAGACCCAAAGTTAACTCCTGATTCTGCCACTCACAGCGGTGTAGCCCAAGATAAATTATTCTGGTTCTCTGTGCCTGTTTCCTCATCAGCAAAATGTGGATTACAACGGCCTACTTGGTAGGATTCACCACTTGTTTGTCAGTTTGTTGAATTGTGGTGGCTTGTGAGTTGCTGTGCTTCTGAAAGCTATGCCACTGGTATTTTAAATACCAGCAGGATCACCCATGGTGGACAGGTTTCAGATGAGCTTCCAGACGAAGACAGACTAGGAAGAAGGAATTACAAACTAACTCTGAATATTTAATTACTGAAAACCTTATAAATAGCGGAGAAACACTGTCAGATATAGTGCTGGAAAATGAGCCCCTCAGGTTGGATGGCACTCAAAATGAGACTGGGGAAGAGCTGCCTCCTCAAAATAGAGTTGACCCTGATGATGCGAATGGAGTAAAGCCCATGGGAAGAAAGCCCTCAGGACTTTCATCTGCTGATGGGGCATAACTCAAAATGAAGAGAAACAGCTGTAAACATC